TCTCCAAGATATTTTTTGTGCGACGCGGGAGTTCGTGCAATTCTTCGATTGCGCGTCTTATCTCCGTCCGTTTTTCTTTCGCCTTTCGCAATGCCGGCTTTTATTATGCTGCGGCTTGCATTCAATCAGCGTATACGGCGGCTCAGCGGCAATATATGTCGCGCTGATTATTAATTTGTCTATGGTCGTGCCAGTAGACAGAATTTGAGTAATATCTGTTTTTTAGACTTACAGATTTTCCGCTTGTCGGCTTCGTGAGTCTCTTCCCTGGGATCGCTCCTGCAATCCCACTTCTGACACCAATGTTACACCGTGGCTGGGGTGTAACGTGGGAAGGACTCGGTTTTGGTGGTTGTTGAATGATGCACAGTATATCGTTTAACACATACACTATATTTACGTGTTACTTACAGATTGAATGACTGCGCGTGCCGACAGCGTAACGCTATGCGTTAATGATTGATGTGAACTCCGCAGTGGTCCGCTGGACGGCGGGTTTTATCCCGTCTCAAGTGGGCCACTGCACTGCTCAGCAGTTGCAATTGTTGCTTAATTGCAACTGCCGCAGTTTTTGAAGGACGAGCGTATTGAGGCTGCCGAAGTACTGCGTCGGCATCCTCAATTATTATGGGTCATCGTTGCAATATTAGATTGCAACAGTGACCTGCTTATTACTAAGTGTGACGTTGTAAGTAAGGCACAGCGAGACTTACAACATCCCTCCCCCTTTGAAAAAAGAAAATGAGGGGTCGAGTTTTCTTATACGCTGTACAATATTATATATTACAATTTACGCACAAGAATTCTTATTTACTAATATCGCACGCTATTTTTTAAGATGGACTTGGGCGTCCAGAGGTCCTTTTCAAATTTATTTCTAGTCGGGTTCTCCTTTTCTCGTTTTTATCTACCGAGAATCCCGAGGCGCTTGTCTCGTGGACTTGAGGAGTCCGATTTGGTTAGGCGATGCGCGCGCGCGCGTGTGTGTGTATATATAATTTAATGCGTACAATTTTATTGTGTTCGTTCTTGTCAAGTACACAGTTACAAATAATACAGTATTAACCTGATACAACTGTTACACCGCGCGTTACATTATAATCTCTGATTTAATTAATTTTCTACAAATAATTTTAATCGGTTCGCGTGTACAGTGGCGATCCTTTGTTTTATTTGTATTTTATAATTTACGTCGGAGACTTTCTGAACGACGCGATACGGGCCCATCCCGGGTGG